GAGGGGGGCCCTGCGCTGCGCAGGTTGCAGAGTGGGGCGATCACCCCGACGATGTGGAGTACATGGAGATGCTGAATGTTATGCTACGGGGCCCAAAGGTACACACCACCACCACCTCCCTCATCCCCTCCCCATCCCAGGACAGAGGAGGGTGGAGGAGGGAGGGGGAATCGAGGTGGTGGTGGTGGTGTATAGTTTTGGGGCCCGCATATACCGAAGCGAGTGCTCATTCGCCGGGAGGTCACCGTCCAGGACCGCGACCTGGAGAGGGTCGCGGCGAAGCAGGGCAAGGTCCATTTCTCTGTGGCGCGCTGGAGGCAGCTTTTCCCCCCCCCTCCCTCCCCCATCCAGGGCTCACGTCGACTCCTCCGACTCGATTCGATTCGATTTCGATCGAGTCCCATTCCGATTCGATCCGACCTCGGATTTCAGACCGGAACTCGGTTTCCCAATGGGGGGGGGTTCTCACTGGCCTGCCGATTTGTCCGCCGACCCGACTTCTCCCGACTTGGCTTCCGAGTTCCGCTGGTCCGATGAATTTCGATCGCCGGCCCGACTTATCGATCCAATGTTGCGCTCTCTTTCATTCAAGGCAGGAACAACAACCCGGACCCGAGAAGTGACGTCTTCTAAACGGCCCATGGCGTTTGTTTCAACAGCCCTGCCCTGTTCGATCCCTTGTTTTGGGTGCGTTTGCTAAGCGGCTTCGCGTGTCGGGGTGATAATTATGAGGGTGGATGTTTTGCCCTCTTGCCCCTCCCACCTCTCCTCCCCCTCCGCATGCTCCGCCCATGCGCAGGCCCTGGCAGTGAATGCATATTACTCACGCAGGGGGGCCTTGCTAGTCTTACAGCTGAAGTTGGATGACCACCCCCTTGTGCGCATCGCCTCGCCTCGCCCCCTGCGACGCGGTGGTGGTCTCTCGCTTGCGGGCTGTGGTGGGAACGGGCAGGCGCTGCCCGGTCCATCCGCGCCCCGAGCGCCCCCCCCGCCCACCCCCCCAGTACGGTCGCGGCCTTCGGGCTTAGCGTCAGGTCGGGCGTGTCCCCCTACAGGGGGAGTGCCCCCAGTATAATCAAAAAGTGGTAGTGGCACGATGTGTCGATGATTCATGGACCACTTTGGAGTGTGTCGCTTCGCCGGTTCTGGCCCACGCACGCACGCCTCGGCGCGGCGCGCCCTCCGCTGTGTGGCCCCGAGGCGTCAGCGTCCCGAGCTCTCCCGAGTTTTCCCGCCCCCAGGGAGCGGAGCGGCACGCAGCATCCGCCTGCAGTGGATGGAGCGTGTCGCCGGGGCCGCCGCGGCGACACGCGAAGCAAACGCTGCCGACCGTGGATCGTTTTCTTATTCATTATGTTCCGATCGGCGCGGGCCCTCGCCCCCCCCCCCCCCCCCATGGAGTAGACCTTGGCTGTTATGGGCGCCCGTTTCACGCAGCTGTAGCCCCCCCCAGAGGACGCATCGTGGCAAGCAGTTGCATCAAGCTGATGTCCGGAGCCAGACCCCCCCTCTCCCCCCTTGAGTCGACGGCGGGTGTGCCCCTAGACTTCGTATGGCAGGGCTTCTTATCGGATGTGTTTGTTGTCTGGCGTATGTCCCAGGCTCACGGAGTTCTCCGCGAGCAGCGGACCCGACGCGGAGTCGGCGAGCATCGTCCACGTGTTCTACGAGGGCAAGGACGAGAGGAAGGTCATGAATTGCTTCTCCGCGGCGGGCATCGACCTGGGCGCCGTCGAGGTTCAGCATCGCCTAGTCTATCCCCATCCCCACTTGGCCAGGGCATCTCAGCTCCACCAGCCCACTTCGACAGGTGGGGATATGGCCCGCGACATCTGAAGGGACAAGCATGTATCCCCATCTAGGGAGGTACATTGGCCAGTGGGGCCAACGCCATGCCAGTGGGGATGCGGATCTGCTCAGAGGCGGTGCCCGTGGACCCGAACTCTAGCCGGGCGCACGAGCAGCGCATCATGTACATGAAGGAGTCCCTGTTCCTGGAAGACGAGTGCGCCTACGAGGAGGGCCCTCCTCGCGAGGTGGCGCAGCGCTAGCTCGGTACACGGCCGCAGTGCCGTCTCAGTGCCTGCCTGCTGACGGCCGTTGCAGGACCCCGAGCGCTGCTGCTTAGAATAAGAGATGGATGGACCTCGAACCTGGAGGGTGAAACAGCCTCGCGCGCCACCTCATCGTCCGTTCCGCTACACAAATACATGCACAGGCACCCTCTACAATGGATTGTTCCTGGCCCTCAGGGGAGGGTGACGGTGTATAAGTCACCACTGAGGGCCAGCGGCTTTACACGCCGCCACCCTCCCAGAAGGTGCATGCAAAGTTCGTCGGAGGGAGCCTGTCGTCGCGCCTGCCCCCTCCTCTGCCTCTGCCGGCCTCGCGCCGCTCCGCCCACCTCGCCTCCCGCCTCCTCCGCCTGCCGACTTCCTGCTCATCCCTCCTTCGCACCTGCTGTCATCGGGCGATGAGCACCGTGCACATGCACTGGTCCTGGCCTGGGCCATCCCAGCCCCAGGGATCGGTGCATCCGCCTCCCTGGCCGAGCCGGGGGGGCGTACGCGCAGATTCTGAGCTCGGGATGTGCCTGGCCAGGATGGGAGTATGTGCGCACTGCTTCTTCTGCACGTCTCCCTATTATCCCCCTCGCCCTCTTGCAAGATCTCTCCCTCGCGCCTGGTATCCTCAACGCGGTTCCCCCCTGCTCCCCCCGGCCTGCGCGGCGCCGCCTCTGCTGCTCGTCACGCGGTTGACCTCCTGCTCCGCCTCGAGCTCTGCGTCGTGCTGCACACGCTCCTCCTCCTCCTCCTCCTCCTCCTCCTCCCCCTCCTCCTCCTCCTCCTCCTCCTCCTCCTCCTCCTCCTCCTCCTCCTCCTCCTCTTCCTCCTCCTCCTCCTCCTCCTCCTCCCGCTTCCCGCGCAGCCCGCCCGGCAGCCCGCCCGGCTCGAGCACCCCCAGGTCGCCCTTTGGGCGCCTCCGCGGCCGGCCTCTGCGCGAGCGCGCGCCCGCTCCCGCCGGGGGGGGAATCGGACGGGGCGAGGGCAAGGATAAACCTTGGGACGATCGAGACGGGTACTCCAGGCCTCCCAGGTGGGGTCCGAGTCTCCTCGCGTGGCGAAAAGATGCGACGGGAGGTGTTCCGTAATTTTCGGCCTCCGGGGGCCCTTCCCAGTCCTCGGGACCGTCAAAAAATGACTCAGGATCAGAGCCCCGAATCATCAGGGGTAACTCGGGTCAGGGATAATTCGGGTTCGTTTTTCGGGAGCCCGAACCCGAGTTATCCCGGACCCGAGTTACCCGGGATAACTCGGGCGTCCAGAGCCCCGAATCATCAGGGGTATTTCGGGTCAGGGATAATTCGGGTTCCTTTTTCGGGAATCCAAGCCCGAGTTACCCAGGACCCGAGTTACCCCGGATAACTCGGGCGCCCAACAGGACGAAAAACCGGTTCCCGGAAAGGGGTCCAGACCTCTGGGGGTCGACGTGTGAAAAAGGGTCGGAGCACATGGGGTACCAGGATCGCGCCGCATCGACGATGCATTCGCGATGCGACTCGATGTGGAGCCCGATTTTCTCCACGCCGACGTCGCCGGTGCATCGCCGACGTTGCTGGTGCATCGCCGATGCATCGTCGATACATCGCCGATGCATCGGCGATGCGGCTCCGACCACATCTACTCCGACCCCATCTAGCAGGCTCCTAGCTACTGAGAGAAAGACTACAATGCCCAACAGCACTTCCTGCTCATCTTGACAGGAGTCGCTGTCCGCGCCGCCACAGACGTTGTTCACTGAAGACAAACCCGCCTGCCCAGCAGCGGCCGCTTTCAGTTTTGGACAACATTTGTTGTTGGGCATTGTATTCATTTTTTCCATACCCATTTTGGGGGTACCAAAAAATACGTTCCACCCAGACCCCTTCGAGCAATGAGAAAATCACGACGGAAGTTGTTTCACCATTTTCGGCCTTCGGGGGCCCTTCCCGGGCCTCGCGAGACCGTCAACAGAACGACTCGGAATGAAACACGGGTCCCTGGGGAGTAGGTCGAAGCCTTTGGGGGCCGACGTCATGAAAAAACCATGACGTTCTGGTTCTGGGCAGGGCGTTCCGGAGCGCTCTCAGAGCGTTGCGGAACGCTCTGAGAAGGCCACGGCGCCCAGGACGTCCTCCAGAGCCGCCGGCTCTCAGAGATCCTCCATTTGCCCTCACCCGGTTTGATCCTCGTCCTGGTTTCGTCTGGGGGAATGTGGCGTGCGGACCCGGGCCCTTGCGTCGGGCAGGCCCGCAGCCAGCGGGGGCGACGGGGGGCGAGCGTCGAGGGGGAAGCAGCTGGAGACTGCTCGTGTTGCTCTCTGGCGCGCAGCGGTCGTGGCCCGAGCCAAGCCCACGCCCCTGCCCGGGCAGCAAGCGGTAGCGATCGTGGATGGGGGGAGGCATACACAGGACAACACAGCATAGCACAGCACAGCAGAACACAACACAACACACCACAGCAACACACAGCACAACACAACACACCACAGCACAACACAACACAGCGCAACACAACACAGCACAACACAAAACAACACACCGCACCACAATACAACACAAGGCAGCACAACGCACCACAGCATAACACAACACAGCACAACACAGTACAACACAGCATATCACAGCACAGCACAACACAGCACAACACAACACAGCCCAACACACCACAACACAACACACCACAACACAACACACCGCAACACATCACAACGCATCACAACACAACACACCACAACACAACACAGCATAGCACTGCACAGCACAACTTACACGACACGACACGACACGACACAACACAACACAACACACACACGCACACGCACACGCACACGCACAAACACACACGCATACCCACACCCACACACACACACACGCACACGCGCACGCGCACACGCACACGCAGCACGCACACCACGCACACACACACACACACACACACACACACACGCACACACACACGCACACGCACACGCACACGCACACACGCACACGCACACGCACACGCACACGCACACGCACACGCACACGCACACGCACACGCACACGCACACGCACACGCACACGCACACGCACACGCAGACGCAGACGCAGACGCAGACGCACACGCACACGCACACGCACACGCACACGCACACGCACACGCAGACGCACACACACAAACACACACACACACACACGCTGGCGCTCGCTCGCATAGTGCTGCGATCACAGAGCACCCACGCCCCGACGGGCTCCATCCCGCTCAAGCGCTACCGTTTGTCACCCGGGGCTCTAAACTCCCCCCCCCCCACGTCACGACATTTAACGGACATGGTATCAAAACGTAATCTCCTGCATAACCATAACCTTTTGGAGGGCCGCGCAGATTTCTCGGCTTCACGCTGGGACCGCCTAGCGGCGCCTCTGGCGCCGCCCCTGGCGCGCTCCGCGCGCCAGGGAGGGGGGCCCAGCGCGGATCCAAGACATCCGCGCGGACCTCCAACAGTGCACGTGCGTATGTGTATGCCGTTGTTTGTCCTTCACGGGCCAGAGAGGGTGGGGGGGGCCCGTTTTTCAATTTCAGGCGTTTTCGTCTGTTCTCGGCGGTTTCCAGCCTCGGTGTGCGTTCCAGCAGCTTCGCCTCGCCGAGGGCGTTCAGGGAGTGCCCAGATCATCCCGAATTGCCGCCAGAGACCTCGAGCTTTGGTCGAAAACCAGGGAGGGGAGGGGGCAAGCTGGGTGCGCTCGCGTCATATCTGACATCCTACCCCTCCCTCCATCCCTTACCATGGCGTAGATCCCCTCTCTACTCGCACAGTCGGATGTCGAGCAGGGCAATGATCCCGAAAGGGTACGCGATGCATTGTAGAGCACGGCATGGCATGGCGTAGAAGAGCACCGCAAAGCGTAGTATCAACCTAGCATTGCAGTGCATGCCGTGGCATGGCACGGGAAATGACGCCAGCACTGCAGCGGGAGCACGAGTCGGAACGACCGGAAGCGCGGAAATGAGGCCAGCGCTGCAGCGGGAGCACGATTCGGAACAAGCGGAAGCACGGAAATGAGGCCAGCGTTGCAGCGGGAGCACGATTCGGAACGAGCGGAGCCCGAAAATGAGGCCGGCTCTTCAGCGAGAGCAGGATTTTTGAAAAAAATGCAGGCGAAAACCCAACTCCGGGGAATCCTGTGTGTAAAAAACAGTACGCGGGGGGGGGGCTAACACTTTCAAGCCGTCATCAGGGGGAGAGGGAGAGTAGTATTCCTATTGAGTAATTGTGGAGGGCGGGGGAGGAGGAAGAGGATGGAACGGATGGAGAAGAAGAGGATGGCAGATGCTGGGAGCGGGTGGAAAAGGAGGGGGAAATGGAGTAGGACGAAACAGGGAAGGATGAGGAGGAGGAGGAGGAGGAGAAGGAGGAGGAGGAGGAGGAGGAGGGGAGGAGGAGGAGGAGGATGAGGAGGAGGAAGAGGAGGAGGAGGTAAAAGAGGAGGGAAGGAGGAAGGAGAAGGAGCAGGTATGAAAATGAGGAGGAGGAGGAGGAGGGATGCGTCGGCTGGCCTCCAAGGGAGCCCTGAGCCTGGCGGGAGCAACAGTCAAATAAGATTTGCGGAGAAGGAGGAGATCAGAAGGGAAGGGATGATGATGAGGAAAGCATGGAGGGGAGGAAAACCAGGAGCAGGAACAGGTGAAGGACAAACATGAGGAGGAGCTAGAGGAAGGGGGACATTCTGGACTCTTTGAGTCGCCGGAGCGACTAGGAAAACTCACGGCGTGCTCCTGACTGGAAAGCCTGCGTTGGAGGACGGAAATGCGGGAGGGGAGCAGAGGGGCAAGGAGGAAGATTGGACCAGGGGAGGAGGGGGGCCCTGCGCTGCGCAGGTTGCAGAGTGGGGCGATCACCCCGACGATGTGGAGTACATGGAGTTGCTGAATGCTATGCTACGGGGCCCAAAAGTACACCACCACCACCTCCCTCATCCCCTCCCTATCCCAGGACAGAGGAGGGTGGAGGAGGGGGAATCGAGGTGGTGGTGGTGGTGTATAGTTTTGGGGCCCGCATATACCGAAGCGAGTGCTCATTCGCCGGGAGGTCACCATCCAGGACCGCGACCTGGAGAGGGTCGCGGCGAAGCAGGGCAAGGTCCACTTCTCTGTGGCGCGCTGGAGGCAGCTTTTCCACCCCCCCTCCCTCCCCCATCCAGGGCTCACGTCGACTCCTCCGACTCGATTCGATTCGATTTCGATCGAGTCCCATTCCGATTCGATTCGACCTCGGATTTCAGACTGGAGCTCGGTTTCCCAATTGGGGGGTTCTCACTGGCCTGCCGATTTGTCCGCCGACCCGACTTCTCCCGACTTGGCTTCCGAGTTCCGCTGGTCCGATGAATTTCGATCGCCGGCCCGACTTATCGATCCAATGTTGCGCTCTCTTTCATTCAAGGCAGGAACAACCACCTGGACCCGAGAAGTGACGTCTTCTAAACGGCCCATGGCGTTTGTTTCAACAGCCCTGCCCTGTTCGATCCCTTGTTTTGGGTGCGTTTGCTAAGCGGCTTCGCGTGTCGGGGTGATAATTATGAGGGTGGATGTTTTGCCCTCTTGCCCCTCCCACCTCTCCTCCCCCGCCGCGTGATCCGCCCATGCGCAGGCCCTGGCAGTGAATCCATTACGATGTCGAAGGGCCGTCGGGTTTTTTGGCTGCATATTACTCACGCAGGGGGGCCTTGCCAGTCTTACAGCTGAGGTTGGATGACCACCCGCTTTTTGCGGATCGCCTCGCCTCGCCCCCTGCGACGCGGCGGTGGTCTCTCGCTTGCGGGCTGTGGTGGGAACGGGCAGGCGCTGCCTGGTCCGTCCGCGCCCCGGGCGCATCCCCCCCCCCACCCCCCAGTACGGTCGGGGCCTTCAGGCTCAGCGTCAAGTCGGGCATGTCCCCCTACAGGGGGAATGCCCCCAATATGATCAAAAAGTGGTAGTGGCACGATGTGTCGATGATTCCTGGACCACTTTGGAGTGTGTCACTTCGCCGGTTCTGGCCCACCGCGCACGCCTCGGCGCCACGCGCCCTCCGCTCTGTGGCCCCGAGGCGTCAGCGTCCCGAGCTCTCCCGAGCTTTCCCGCCCCCAGGGAGCGGAGCGGCACGCAGCATCCGCCTGCAGTGGATGGAGCGTGTCGCCGGGGCCGCCGCGGCGACACGTGAAGCAGACGCTGCCGACCGTGGATCGTTTTCTTATTCATTATTTTTCCGATCGGCGCGGGCCCTCGCCCCCCCCCTCCTCCCCCCCCCACATGGAGTAGACCTTGGCTGTTTTGGGCGCCCGTTTCACGCAGCTGTAGCCCCCCCCCCCAGAGGACGCATTGTGGCAAGCAGTTGCATCAAGCTGAGCCAGACCCCCCCTCTCCCCCCCTTTCGCTCAATGTCGGAACGCCGAATAAGAAAACGATCAACAGACCTCAGCCCAAGCGGCTCCGTCGTGCGCCGATCTTCTGCAGCAGGGGCACCAAACAGGAGGCTGGCCTGCCAACGGGTGCCCCACGATAAGCTCGTATTCCCAGATGGGGCATCATCACTCCGCGGCACTTCGCGAAGCTCAAGAGTCGACGGCGAGTGTGCCCCTAGACTTCGTATAGCAGGGTTTCTTATCGGATGTGCTTGTTGTGGCGTATGTCCCAGGCTCACGGAGTTCTCCGCGAGCAGCGGACCCGACGCGGAGTCGGCGAGCATCGTCCACGTGTTCTACGAGGGCAAGGACGAGAGGAAGGTCATGAATTGCTTCTCCGCGGCGGGCATCGACCTGGGCGCCGTCGAGGTTCAGCATCGCCTAGCCTATCCCCATCCCCACTGGGCCAGGGCATCTCAGCTCCACCAGCCCACTTCGACAGGTGGGGATATGGCCCGCGACATCTGAAGGGAAAAGCATGTATCCCCATCTAGGGAGGTACATTGGCCAGTGGGGCCGACGCCATGCCGGTGGGGATGCGGATCCGCTCAGAGGCGGTGCCCGTGGATCCGAACTCTAGCCGGGCGCACGAGCAGCGCATCATGTACATGAAGGAGTCCCTGTTCCTGGAAGACGAGTGCGCCTACGAGGAGGGCCCTCCTCGCGAGGTGGCGCAGCGCTAGCTCGGTACACGGCCGCAGTGCCGTCTCAGTGCCTGCCTGTTGACGGCCATTGCAGGACCCCGAGCGCTGCTGCTTAGAATAAGAGATGGATGGACCTCGAACCTGGAGGGTGAAACAGCCTCGCGCGCCACCTCCTCATCGTCCGTTCCGCCACAAATACATGCACAGGCACCCTCTACAATGGATTGTTCCTGGCCCCCAGGGGAGGGTGACGGTGTATAAGTCACCACTGAGGGCCAGCGGCTTTACACGCCGCCACCCTCCCAGAAGGTGCATGCAAAGTTCGTCGGAGGGAGCCTGTCGTCGCGCCTGCCCCCTCCTCTGCCTCTGCCGGCCTCGCGCCGCTCCGCCCACCTCGCCTCCCGCCTCCTCCGCCTGCCGACTTCCTGCTCATCCCTCCTTCGCACCTGCTGTCATCGGGCGATGAGCACCGTGCACATGCACTGGTCCTGGCCTGGGCCATCCCAGCCCCAGGGATCGGTGCATCCGCCTCCCTGGCCGAGCCGGGGGGGCGTACGCGCAGATTCTGAGCTCGGGATGTGCCTGGCCAGGATGGGAGTATGTGCGCACTGCTTCTTCTGCACGTCTCCCTATTATCCCCCTCGCCCTCCTGCAAGATCTCTCCCTCGCGCCTGGTATCCTCAACGCGGGTTCCCCCCTGCTCCCCCCGGCCTGCGCGGCGCCGCCTCTGCTGCTCGTCACGCGGTTGACCTCCTGCTCCGCCTCGAGCTCTGCGTCGTGCTGCACACGCTCCTCCTCCTCCTCCTCCTCCTCCTCCTCCTCCCCCTCCTCCTCCTCCTCCTCCTCCTCCTCCTCCTCCTCCTCCTCCTCCTCCTCCTCCTCCTCCTCCTCCTCCTCCTCCTCCTCCTCCTCCTCCCCCTCCTCCTCCTCCTCCTCCTCCTCCTCCTCCTCCTCCTCCTCCTCCTCCTCCTCCTCCTCCTCCTCCTCGTTACCTTGGTTGCCTTCCCCACTCTCCCGCGCTCTCTTCCAGCCTCGGCTCGAGGGCCTCCGACCCACCGCGCAGCCGCGACGCGAAGCCCACAGCACAGCGATTTTCAGCCCACCTCGCGTACGACGAGCCTGGACACCGCACCCCGCGGTGTGACAGATCCGCGTCAGCTCCCTCTCACCGTGCGCGCCGCGACGCTTCCTGGGAGCCCTCGCCGTGTGCGTCGTGCACCACCGCGGCCCAAGCCACCAGGCAAGGGCCGCCGAGCCTGCTGTCCAGGGAGCTTTCTCGCGCGCCAGGAGCCCCGCACCGCTGCCCTCCCCCTGCAGTGGTGGCGCAGACCCGGCTGCCGCAGCCACAGGACGAGCTTGTCCAAGAGCGCCCAGCCGACCTCGAGACCGCCTACCGGCAGCACTGCTTCAAACAGCGTCGGCTCAGGAGCGGGCGGGGACTCGTGCTTTACTGGGCACAACCACCGCACCTGAGGGCACAAAAGGCTGCGTGCACGCACGTGGAGTCTCCACGACTGCACTGACGGTGAATCCAGATCCCTAGACCATCACCGGGGCCCGAAACAGGCCCCCAGGAGCCGAAAACGCACAGTGCTCGAGAGCCCCCCGCTGCCGAGCGCAGACGAAAACATCGGACTCGATATATGTTCGAGTCCCTGGAGGCCTGGGCCCCATCCAATCCCTTCCCCCGCTCTTGTGGGGACAGTGACGGCCTCCAGTTCCACGGGGGGCGCCGCCGCCGTCGCCGCCGCCGTCGTCGCCGCCGTCGCCGTCGCCGCTGCCGCCGTCGTCGTCGTCGTCGTCGACGTCGTCGTTGCCGCTGCCTTTGTCGTCGTCTGCGCCTGTGTGGGCCCAGACATCCAGCGTGCCGGCAACCATCAGAACGACGGCTTCTCGCCGGCCCCGGCCTCCCTGGGCCCGCTCCAGGCCTGGGGAGCCCCAGCAAATCATCCGGGATGGAACGTGCTGGCGCTGGGGAAACAAAGAGTCAGGACTCCCGGGGGCCCGCCTCGAAAACTTGCAGGAGGAGGAGGAGGAGGAGGAGGAGGAGGAGGAGGAGGAGGAGGAGGAGGAGGCGGAGGGGGAGGAGGAGGAGGAGAGGAGGAGGAGGAGGAGGAGGAGGTGTCGTCGAGGTGTGTCGCGGCCTCTGTGCAGGTGTGTTTTTTGGGGTCGCGGCGTCGGAGCTCCGGGCGCGCGGGTCTCGTGGCGGGGGCCCCGGGCTCTCGCGGGTGTCGCGGCCCCCTTCTGCTTCCATCAGGACGCTCCCTGGCCCCTCGTCCGTGCGCATGCTCGGCGGCGAAGTCCCCCCCCCCAAAAAAGAAAGAACAAATGATAACAATAAAAAATAAAAATAAAGCAATAATAATACAGATGATACTAATACTACTAATAATAATCATAATCGTAATGATAATAATAATAATACTAATAATAATAATAATAATAATAATAAAGATGATACTAATACTACTAATAATAATCTTACTAATAATAATCATACTAATAATAATAAAGATGAGAATAAAGATAACAAATATAGTATCAGAAAACTGTCCTCTCCGACCAACGATTCAGGCAACTCGATGGGCGGCGGGGGCCAGGGTTCGGAATTCACCGACCGCATGGCGAACGTCGAGCCCTAACCCCCGCCTCGCGCCGGTTCAGGCGAGTCGGTGGTCGGCGGGGGGCGGGCCTCGGAGGCCGCCACCCAGGCCGCCACCCAGGACCCGTGTGCCAGCGATCTCGTGTACCGTCTTGTTTCGGCTCCGTTTTTTTTTGTTGCAGCAAGATCGGCGACTGCAAAGGGTGTGGTTACGCCGGGGTGTGGTTTGCGATCGGCACCGTTGGGGCCTGGGGGGCACGACAGTGTCCTCGTCGGGCCTCCTCGGGGCGCGGGAGAGCTCTATCCAGGTCCCCGCGTGCCCCCAAGGTGCCCCCCAGGATGTTCCCCAGGGTGCCGGTCGCAAACCACACCTTTTGCAAACCACACCCTTTGGAGTCGCCGAGCAAGAGGCAGAACGAGGGCGGAACGAGCGAACACAAAAGCAAAGCAAAAAAACAAAAGCACCGCCGAGCTCCGGCCCTGCCGCACCCGCAGGCCCCATCGGGACCCCTGGAGTCAGGAGGGCACAAAAAAAACACAGACACAAAGAATCGCCCATCCCACGGCAGAGTTATGGGAACAAGTGGGAAGTGGGGGGGGCAGACGAAAACATCAACACCACATGGGATGAAAAAGGCAGATCCTTGGAATTGTGTGTCTTTCTTTGTGTTTGGCAGTTTAGGTGCGCGGCTTCAGTTTGCTCCTGTTGTCAATTCGTAGGCCCGCGCCCCGGACTTACGGCTCGACGCTTGCGCTTTCGCCCGCGGCCGCGACCAAAGCCTCCCTGGGGGTG